TACACCCAAAACCCCAAACCCTCAACCATAAAGCCCAAAGGGTGATTCAGAATTTGAAGCTTCAGCGTTTCGGAGTCGGAGTGAAGCGGTAGGATTGTCTTGGGTGTCTTTATTTGCAACACAAGTGGCAGACCATTCTAGATTTAGGGTTTAGGGTTTAGGGTTATGATAAAGTCTCCTCCCATTCACTCCAGATATCGGCCGCAACACAACTGGTAGGTTCCGGACCGTCCTCAAAGCATAGAGCCCCCATGTCTTTACCAAATCCGATTCTTACGCTACGCCTAAATCTCGAGGCCCTGACAACCCACCCCTTCCTTGCATGTAGTTCGGCCCTCAAGGTCCTATATGGGAGTTTCCGAAAATTAGGGGTACCTTATTTTGGGGTCCTTATAAGGATGCTATTATTTGGGGTACTATTTTTGGGTCCCCTATTTTCGGAAACCCCCATATAGGGGCTACGATGAGGCCAAGGGACATGCGAAGTACATGGGCCCAGAAACCCAACCCTAAACCCTAAACCCTAAACCCCCAACCCTAAGCCCTCGTAGAGCCCTCAGGCAGCCCTGGGAGGATGCGTCTAGTCTTCAATTGGAGACCCCCCGAGTCCAAACTTCAAAAAACCCAAATTTACACCCTGACACTTCTAAACCCTAAACCCTAAACCCTAAACCCTAAACCCTAAACCCACTGAACCTTGATAGGCTTTAAGGTTTAGGGTTTACCTTGCTAAGCCCTAAACCCCAAAACCTTAAGGCTCCTGATCCCAAACCCTGGCCCCAACAGCCCAACGCATCCCCCGAAAGCCCCGCACGCCTTTAGAAGCCTTCGAGGCACCATCAGGTTGAGTAACCTCTACACCCTAAAGATTGAGGGTTTAGGGTTTAGGGTTGAACCCTAAAGGTTTAGGTTTAGGGTTTAGGGGTTTAGGGGTTAAGGGTTTAGGGTTTAGGGGGGGTACACCCGTAATACTTTAAGCCCCGCAACCCTGGCTTCGCAGACCCTATAAGCCCGAAACCTATTAGCCATTACTTGGAGCATCATGGGACTGAGTAGGTAAGGTTATAAGTACCTTTACTGGGGATACAAGCATTTGATGAGTCCTTGAAGTATACTACAAGGTCCTTAACAATTACCTACATTTTTTGGTGGCTCCTTCTTATTTAATGAAATTATAGTATAGTATACCCCAAACCCCTAGTCTAATTAGGCCCCTAAACCCTAACTCCTTTTTGTGGCCCTTCTGGAAACCCTTTAAGGAATCCTGAAAAGGCCCTTACATTAAACCCTAAACCCTTATCGTGGCCCTTATAGAGCCCTTTAAGGAACCCTTCAAAGGCCCCGACATTCAACCCTAAACCCTTATAGTGGCCCTTATAGAACCCTTTAAGGAACCCTTAAAAGGCCCCGACATTCAACCCTAAACCCTAAACCCTAAGCCCTAAACCCAGAGAGGATGCGTGACTCGGACGAGAAGGCGGCAGTCGAGAGCGAGAAGTCGGAGCAGGCAGAGAGATTTCTGGTAACAGACTGTAGGGGCCTAATTGATTTAGGCTTTAGGGTTTAGGGTTTAGGATTTCTGGTAGCAGAAGATAGGGGCCTTCATAATTAGAATAGGGTTTAGGGTTTAGGGTGTAGGATTTCTGGTAACAGAATACAGGGGCCTTCATAACTAGAATAGGGTTCTTTCAGAGGGATCTCCAAGGGTTCCTTTAAAGGGTTCTAAAAGGGATCTATATAATATATAAGGGTTCCATAATGTAGGGGCCTTAATAATTAGAATAGGGTTTTGGGGGTTCCTTTAAAGGTTTCCTTACAAGGGCTACTATAAGGGTTTAGGGTGTAGGGGCCTTCATAATGAGAATAGGTTTTGCGGGTATATTACTCTACAATTATATCAAGGAACCCCCAAAACCTTATTCTAATCATTATGGCCTCTACATTAGGGCTTTTTCCAAGCGGGTTTCGGGCTTTAGGACGTAAGGGTTTAGGGTTTAGTATTTACTGTTTAGGTTTAGGTTTAGGGTGACTTTGTGTTTATGGCTAGGGTTAGTGTTTAGCGTTGAGTATTTAGTGTTTAGGGTTAGGTTTAGGGTGTAGGGTTTGGTATTTCGTGACTTAGTGTTTATGGTTAGGGTTAGCGTTTAGGGTTTAGTATTTAATGTTAAGGGCTAGGC